TCTGGCAGAGGTGTTTATGTCTATGATCTACCACTTCAAGCAGGTGGGTACAGCCAGAGGGGTGGGTGCTGAGGCCAGGCTGAGGGCTGGCTCTAGGGAGCAGACATTCATGCAGTTTCTGCCCCTTCACGCAGGGACGTCTGGGCAGCACTGAGGAAGGGAAAGAAACACTTCGGAGCTTTGTGACTGACATCACAGCAAGGACAGCTGGGAAAGATCTGTCACTGGTGATTGTGGATCCAGAGAAGTGCTTCAGGTTTGGATTTGTCCTCAAGACTTAGTATTAAAAGGGGCAGCTCTTGGGCCAACAGGGGTGAATGTATTCATCCCAGATCTGGGTCCCTTTGCAAAACAGCATCCCTGTTAGCCCTTTGTGACTCTCTGGTCCAGCCTTCTCACACCTCTCCTGAGCTCAGCCTGGAGCTGCTACCCTTTTGATTTCCTCCCCTGCTCCAGTGCTCCGAATCCTCTAAGAAGGAAACAGAGAGTGGCAAATAGAGGACAGGCCAAGGAGAAGCAGCAGCAGCAGAAACAACCAGAGGCCAACACAGTGGCCATGGTGACCAGGGTAGATATAGAAGAGGTAAGAACTGTTGCCTGAATCAGCGTGGGCACTCACTCTCCTCTAACCTGAGTTGCTAAAGAGTAAAATGCCTGCTGGACACTACTTTCTGCCCTGGCACTAGGTAGGAAAGAAGGGCCAAACAGGGAGCCAAGGGACTGGGGTGTAGCTTCAGTGAACTGTGAGAGGAGAACAGTCTCTCCATACTCTTCCAATCCATCCTGCTTTGGGGTTTCTAGGCACTGGTAGATCTGCAGCTGCACACAGAAGCCCAGGCTCGAATTGTGCAGAGCTGGAAAGAGCTGGCTGACTTGGCATGCGCGTTCACGAAGGCCGTGGCCGAAGCACCCTTCAAGTGAGTGCCCCCGTCAAGTCCTGGCTCAGTTGCTGGGCCTTGGTCTTTACAGTGATTCTGGTACCCAAAGGTGTCTCCTTCCCCTGACTCTGCTGCTAGTCTCTTGTTGCTCAAGCTTGAGGCAGAAGCAGCCTACTTAACCCTGGGGATTCTTGGAAGGAGCCTTCAAGTCTGGTCCCTTTAAAATGTTCTCTAGCTTATATGTGTAGGGATCCCCTGGTGGCTCAGATGGTGAAGAATCTGCCTGGAGCGTGGAAGACCTGGGTTCACTGCCTGGGTCAGGAAGATCCCCTGGAGAAGGGAACGGCAATCCACTCCAGTATTCTTGCCTGGAGAATTCCATGGACAGAGGTACAGTTCATGGGGTTGCAAAAGAGTCAAAACACAACTGAGCAACTAACACTTGAGCTTATGTGTAAGTTTATGTTCTGCAGATTCGTACTGGGTTATCAGTGGGCCAAGGTACCAGGATTCATTGCAGATCAGGTCACAATGAAACAAGCTTTTGTAAAACAAATTTTTTAGCCTACTTAGCTCAAGGGCTGTTCATAGTCAGAACTTAAAATTAATGAGACCTGAGAGACAATTGAGTCCTTCATTTTATACCTGAGGGAACTGAGGCCTGAAGAGACCAACCTGTCAAAAGTTGCGAGCAAATTAGAAGAACCAGATCTAGACTCTAAATTGCCTGATACCCAGTCCCCTGTGCCTACTCCTGTGCACACTGCTTCCCCAAATGGAGCCCAATCTCAACGTAAGCAAGAATCTGGTAACTTTCTGGTAATTTCTCTTTGAATGAAAAGGCGTAAATGTTTTTAAGGGAATCTAGTTTTTAAGCAACTAGCATTGCTTGGGTGGAACATTGTGCACCCCTCTTCCAAGCTCAAGTGCAACAGAGAAATGCATGACTTTTAGCTCCTCAACTGCGCTGTTTGCAGGAAGCTCCGAGATCAAACTAGTTTCTCCTTCTGCCTGGAGAATGACTGGGCTGGAGGGGCCAAGGTGGACCGCTCTGGCAGGGGGCTTGCACTGGTCTGGAGGAGACAGATTCAGCAGCTGAACCGGGTCAGCCTGGAGATGGCCAGTGCCATTGTGGATGCCTATCCCTCCCCACAGCTCCTGATCCAGGTATGCTATTCCAGGGGTCACTGCCCAGTGTGCTGTGGCCTTGGTGGACTCCCAGTTTCCATGGACAGCACTGGTGAGGGCCCAAGAATGCCTTGTAAGTCAACAGTGCGGGTCTGAGATCAGAGTCAACACTGATCAGGGAGGGAGGACAGATTCTCTTCCTCCAACACAAGCTTCCCATCCTCTGTTCATAGATGAAGAATGGCTGTGGATGGTGTGGTATTAACAGGTCATTTACTCCTTTCAGGCTTACAAGCAGTGTTTTTCTGAGGAAGAATGCCAGAACTTGCTCGCAAACTTACAGGTGCGCCGTGGGGAAGGCGTGACAGCCACCTCGCGCCGTGTTGGACCAGAGCTGTCCAGGCGTATCTACCTTCAGATGACAGCTTTGCAGCCAGATCTCTCCTTAGACAGTGCAGACTGAAGCCAGCCCTCAGGATGAGGATGAAAAGCTGGTTTCCACCGCTGCTCCTACCTTGCAGCATGACTACAGTGTAGGAATCAGGAGCACCTCCTGCAGCACAAGCCTGGGTCCTGCCCACAGCAGGCTTTCCTTGGTGTTGCTATTTATGATAGTGTCTCTACCTGCCCACCTGGGGTGGAGGCCGAGATGCTTATATTTGCCTTCCTCTCTTAGCAAGTTGACTGCCATGTATGAACCACCCCTGCCCTTGCCCTCGCCAGCCCTCAAAAATACAAAGGAACAAAGACAGACCACTCAGACATGTATTTAATAACTGTAGAAATCCAAAAGTACCCCAGCATCAAATCTCCAGGTCACAAGTGAACTGCCCTCAGCTGGTGACCTGACGAGGCTGGATGTGCTCTTGCCTTCTTGCCACCCACTGAAGCTCCTCAACCAGCCAAGGAACTGTGCTGACTTCTGTATTCTCTTAATCTCATTTTATGTCCTGGTTTTAATTTCAATAAAGCATTTGTACTATTGGTTCTGGAGCTTAGAGGAAAAATAAAGGAATGTGTAGTGATTCTGAATAAGGTGTGGGCCTATGCAGCAGTTCTCCCTGAGGGAAAAAAGAATAAGTCTTTTCTTCCATCATCAGGACAGTCACAAGTGTCAGTGCTATCCATGGGCCACTAGTGCTGACAAGCTGGACCCCACTGTCTCTGAACATGACAGGTTCTCAATCTCCGTGGGGAAAGGCAAGGAGCTTTCAATCATGAGTATTCTGTGAATGAGCACCATGACGGCCATTTCTGATGTAGTGAAAAGAGGTAAAGGAGGCCACAGAGCAAGAAAATGCTGACTCTAGCAGATAAAGGGAGTGGACAGTGCTGTCCTTATTCATGCTAGTTGTTAGCACTTTTAAGCTCCATGATGTCTAGGATCGACTCGAAACATCAAGTCTCTTTATGAAGCTTAGTTTTCAGGTTGCCTATGTGGTATTCAGTCACACCAATTATGTTAACAGAGCTGTCATAGACAATGTGGTTTTGCAAGGATCCAGCTTCTTGTTTATTGGCAATCAAGGGATTAATCCTCTTAAACTGACGCCAGGAGCCTGGACTGTGCCCATTTTATAGAAGCCACATAAGCTGTGGCAAGACTCTGCAGGAGCTGCCCAAGACCCTCGTGGCTATGAGATTTCTATTTATGGGTCATAAATCTGTTTCCCATGAGAGATTCTCTACTCCAGCCAAGAGACACCCAATTCTGGTCTAAGTTTTGTTTACTCAGGACATTACAAAGAAGGTAAAATGATGGGAAAAAAAGATACCAGTTGGGATCCAAAGATACCAGGTGGGAATCCAGTTCTGCCCCAAAACTAGCTGGAAGACCATAGGCAAGTCATGGAAAGCCTCAGTCTCCCTGTCTACATTGGACTGGATGATCTGGAAGTCCTGTCACAGCCCAAGATTTTGTATGGCTGTTGAAGTATCTGAATGTCTGAGATCCTTAAAAAATAGGTATGCCCCTCCCCCTCAATTTAGATGAGATTTGCCAAGTATGATGTTCCCCTAGTCCCCAATAACACACTGCCTCCTGATCTGCCCTGGGTCCCCAGGGAGGAATGAAAGAAAGGGTCTGTGACATACAAAAGTATAAATGTAGTGACAGCTGACCTTTAGTAAAAACGAGTCTTGCCTTTACACAGCTTTGTATGACAACTAGAAAAGGCTCTCTCCCTACCCCAAGCCTATTTTTTTAAGCATGCAGGTAACTGTCCCCACCTCCTATTTCTCCTTATTCCACCAGGGAACCCTGACTGAGGAACAAAGAAGTCTTACAAAGAGGAGGTCTCAAGTACCAAACAGCAGCCATTTGATGATGGCAGGTAGGTCTGACACTAAAAAGAGGTTGTGTCCAGCAGAACCCAATTCCATAGGAATCCAAGCTCCAAGGCTGGGAGGCAGCAGGTGTTGAGGACAAGCTCACTGTTGAGAATCGGTCTGCAGGACCCACTGGAGGATGTCATGGCTGCGCAGGCCCCGGATGGCATTGTCGTAGATGGTGTTCACACTGGTGCAGAGGGGCTGCTGCTGCAGCTCGGTCACCCGACAAGCAAGCAGCCCTCCAGCTACACACAGCAGCAGCAGCAGCAGCAGCTTCAGCACAGCCCAGGATCGAGTGTGTTTCCGGGGTGGTGGCTTACGGGGGCGAGAGCCGGACTTAGATTCTGGAGGGACAGAGTCACAGGAGACAGAGTTCAGGCAAAAACTAGCTGGAAGACCATAGGCAAGTCATGGAAAGCCTCAGTCTCCCTGTCTACATTGGACTGGATGATCTGGAAGTCCTGTCACAGCCCAAGATTTTGTATGGCTGTTGAAGTATCTGAATGTCTGAGATCCTTAAAAAATAGGTATGCCCCTCCCCCTCAATTTAGATGAGATTTGCCAAGTATGATGTTCCCCTAGTCCCCAATAACACACTGCCTCCTGTTCTGCCCTGGGTCCCCAGGGAGGAATGAAAGAAAGGGTCTGTGACATACAAAAGTATAAATGTAGTGACAGCTGACCTTTAGTAAAAACGAGTCTTGCCTTTACACAGCTTTGTATGACAACTAGAAAAGGCTCTCTCCCTACCCCAAGCCTATTTTTTTAAGCATGCAGGTAACTGTCCCCACCTCCTATTTCTCCTTATTCCACCAGGGAACCCTGACTGAGGAACAAAGAAGTCTTACAAAGAGGAGGTCTCAAGTACCAAACAGCAGCCATTTGATGATGGCAGGTAGGTCTGACACTAAAAAGAGGTTGTGTCCAGCAGAACCCAATTCCATAGGAATCCAAGCTCCAAGGCTGGGAGGCAGCAGGTGTTGAGGACAAGCTCACTGTTGAGAATCGGTCTGCAGGACCCACTGGAGGATGTCATGGCTGCGCAGGCCCCGGATGGCATTGTCGTAGATGGTGTTCACACTGGTGCAGAGGGGCTGCTGCTGCAGCTCGGTCACCCGACAAGCAAGCAGCCCTCCAGCTACACACAGCAGCAGCAGCAGCAGCAGCTTCAGCACAGCCCAGGATCGAGTGTGTTTCCGGGGTGGTGGCTTACGGGGGCGAGAGCCGGACTTAGATTCTGGAGGGACAGAGTCACAGGAGACAGAGTTCAGGCAATTGAAGGAGAGGACACTATAGTCAGTGCCAGTCTCCTCCATGCACACCCACTCACACCCTCTTCTCTGATGAAAACTCCCCAGGCCCTTAGGAGAACACATTTACAAGAAGACTTGAGCTCTTTAAAAACTTTGCTATGCCGAGACTGAAACATGAACTTTCTCCCTTGGATCTCAAGGAGTAGACTGAAAATGGATTCATTCTGGATGTCTCCATGTAGCATACAGTCCCCAGGGTCCTAAGTTCTCCTCCGTAACATGCCAATGATCCAGGCCCCTAGGGCCAAGGGTCAGGAGGTGTCAAGCATGGATAGAGTGCTGCCCATTTGGGGAAACAGGTTCAAAATTTATAAATACTTCTAATATATAAAATAGAAAGCCTTACACACATTGTAAGCCTTAAATACATTGGCAACAGTGATTAATGCTGGAAATGGGATTACAGGTGATTGACATTTTCTGATATATACAGAAATTCTCTAAAATGAATATATTTAAAATTGGGGGGGGGAATTGATTTTGAAATTTTTAGGCAAATTTTTAAAAAACCTGTCTGAACACCCATAGGCCAAGAACTACATGATCCTGTCAGAAGTTTTTCTCAATCCTATCGCAACCCTGTAAGGAGGTATGATCCTCATTAACATGGGGAACAAAACGGCGGTGAGGTTGGGTGACCTGCTCAAGGCCAGTGGGGGGCAAGCAGGGACAGGCACAGGCCTCCGCTCCCCACAGAGCTTCCCTGTTCAGGTGTCTTTTCCCTTAGGGGCCCCTTTTGGCCCAGAAGATATACAGTCCTCACTTATACGTGGAGCACATTGCTACACAAATCCAACAGGACATACTCAGGCAAACCCTAGTGTGTTTTTTACATGACATGGCTTCCTGAATGCAGGCCACATAATTCTTCTGGTGTTCACTAAACAGTGATCTGGTCCAACTTGGAAAGAAAATCAACAGGCCACGCTGGCACCACTGAGACAGCACAACACACTCAGGAGCCCAGTCCATTTGCTGGATGATGGAAGGGTCTTCTAAGAGTAATATGACCATACGCAATCTTCACCTTTCTGGGTGATTTTAGAATCTAACCTTTACAAAAAGTGCAACTCCCTGTTCGGGAAATGTTCTTAGCCACATCTGATCCAAACATGTGACACTGAGAAAACAAACCAGTCAGGGCAGTAGGAGGGTTCCCATTCCCCATAAGTGGATCCTCCAAGTCACCCCCAGACTTTAGAGTATATTGTACCTGACAAGGTCTGTAAGCTTGTTCACTCGCTCACTCACTCAGCTATGCCTGGAAATCTAAGCCATCTTCTCACCACACCCCTCCTGGAACCCTGCAACTGACAGAAAAACCTACTTGGGGCCTGATTTGTTTCCTTCTTAGGTTTCTTCTCCTGCTCCCGCTTGGCTGCTTTGAGAGCGTCATACTCCTTTCTCCGGCGCTCCTTCTCTTCTGCCTTCTCCCGCTTCCGCAGTTCCCGCTCTTGAGCCTCCTTAGCTCGCTGCTTGGCCTCCCACTTCTTCTCAGCCTCTACAAGAAAGCATACCCCAAAGTGGCTTCTCTCACAAACCTCCAGTGTGCTATCCCAAGTAATTAACATGGATTCGGGCTCCCTTCGCCTAATGCTGTGGATCACATGTCTTTCTGTTCTCTGGGAAGTAAGCCCTCCCTAAAATACAGTAAGCTGCTCTCAGGGTTTGCCCAATGGATTCTTATTAAGGGGTTCCTAGCCACAAGCAGCAGAAAGAGTAGGGTGACATAGCAAGAGGGGCATAAGAAAGGTATGGGTGATGAGTCTGGTGCTCCTTTAGAACTATGAGACACAGCCATTTGCAGCCTTGCACAACTCAACTATGAGCAGAGGAAAGAAGGGAGGTGTTGATTCTATGGGACTTTCATCTTTCCAAGCTTTGGAAAGGAATGTAGCATGGGAGGGCAGGATGAAAAAGTGAACATTCAGGTTCAGAGTTAGAAAGTTTGGAAATGTTTTCCTGAAAAAGTAAAACTAATAGCTTGTCAGAAGGTACTCTAGACTTCAACTCAGGAGTCTATATAACACTCAGATTTATTCCACAGCTCAAGTATGTTTACACATGGCACCCACCTTACAAATAACTGGTTTCTAAAAATGCATTTCCAAATAAGTTATCTGAAAGACTGAAGTACATTTTTCCAAGGCCAGAATGCCACAGGTGGTGGTTAAATGTCCTGTTAGGGCTCAAAAGCCTATTTGAACTGTCATGTATCTGAATGGTAGTAGTGTTAGCACTGTAGCTTCCCACTGCTTTTCTACGTGTAAACAAACTCCAAGTTCCAGATGGGCACCAAGAATGCCAGGAACACACTCTGCCCAGCCGTAAGAGAACATGTGCCATTCAGAGGCAAAAGCAGCAGCAGTCACAGTAAACGCAGCACAGCGGCCATGCATGTGCAAGGGACCGTCCCAACTCGGGGGTTCTGATCTCACGGCCCGCCTGTCATCAGCACTACACGCGTCCCTCTAACCACGGGAGTCCTCCAGTAAGGGGGCTCAGAAGTCAGCCATCACAGAGCATCTGCTGTGTGTCGGGCCTTGTTCTAAGTGCTTGGATACAGCAGTGAAGAAAAGTCAGGCTCTAGTGCCTAAGTCCTCTGCTTTCTAGAGAAGGAGACAAACAATAAACAAGTGAACAAACAGTAAAAAAAGATAGTGATGTGTGCCATAAAGGAAATAATCAAGGATGTGATAGAGTGGCAGGTGGGCTGGCAATTCTAGTTTGAGTGGCTCTGAAAGGGTTATGGTTAACCTAACGCAACATCTGAGCAGAGATAGGGACCATATGAAGCCAACAGACAGCCACATAAAGATCTGAGGGAAAAGGAAATCAAGCAAAGCCCCTAAGATGATACTGTACCTGGTGTGTTTTGCAACAACAGAGGCTTGTGTGGCTGAGGGTGACTGTACTCTCTCCCGGGCATGTGGAATGAGGACAGAGAAGCAAGTAGGCCGGGGCATGTCAGGCCTTGTCACCCACGTTACTGAGTTTGAATTTCATTCTAAGTTCAAATGGAAGCCATGAGAGGGTTTACCGAATAGTAGCAGAACTGACTTATGTTTTAAAAAGATCTCCCTGGCTGCCGTATGAGCCGGGGCAGGGTGCTAGGAGGTACTGTGGCAGTCTGCCAGAAGGAGGCTTGACTAGCACTGAAGGTTCCACAGCTGACAGCCTGGGCATGGGAGGAACAGGAGAAAAGCAATCACGGACATTTCCCAATTTCAGGCTTGAATAAGGATGGTGATTTCCCTTTATGGGGGAACAGTATGAGGTACTAAAGGGGATCTGGTTTAGCCGTGCTTAATTTGAGATAACTTACTAAAGGGCTAAGCAGACAGACAGATAAGCAGTTGAATATGACTGTGGGTCTCAGTGGAGGAGCTGGGACTGGAGAGATGCTGCCATCTACCACCACACTACTCCCTACTGCCCTGCAGGGCTCCTCTCCTGGATCCTAACTCCTTAAGCACGAGAACCAGCTGGCTGAGATAAGAACCAGGAAAATGACTAGAAGAGGGGTGGCAACCTACCTCGGTCTATTTCCAGTCGCCGCTGCCTCTCTCGCTCCTGATCCGCCTGCACGGCCTTCATGTGCTGTAATACCTGCAAAGGGAGAGGAGGGCACTGAACTACTCTGTGTAATTGTCTTCACGCGGGGAATCTGAAGAGACTGCTCTTTTCAGGAGTCCAGATTACCAGCGCCCTGCAAGCAGTGCAGAGCTAATGGAGTTAATCCTAATGTCCTTGTGTTAATCCTTGTGTCCTCACTGCACCAAGTCAGAGAAGAGACGTGTGAGCACAGTTCACTAAAGCTCAGGAAAAAAAGTTTGTGAAATACCAACTGGAATCTGTAAAAAGTTCTGCCGTTTATAATCACTTCTTACAATTCTCCCAGCAACTTTTGTGTTGTGCAGGGACAGCACTTCCACTAAGACACCTTCCTGTCCGCACCCCGCTGTGGCTGCCTCAAGTTCCCCTCCTCCCATTTACAGGGAGTTTTCTTATCCATCTCAGTCCTAAACTGTAAACTCCCTAAGGGTATGGACTATTGTCCTTAGCTAAGCAGTAAGCACAGAGCTTAGCTAATTACAGGCACAGGTATGATGAACAACTGACTGGATGCCTATTGTAAAGGTAAGGAAGAAAACCCAGGCTCTGATGTCACGTGGCTAGAAAGTAGCACAGCAGAGAGTGCAGGTCTCCTGAGTTCCTAGGCCTGGGCCAGAGCTTGTCCCTCTTATTCCAGTGCACAGAGGCAGGAGAGTTCTAAAAGAAAGGCATTATATATGCTCATTAAACACTGTTGCTTTTTTACCTTATCTTCTTGACTCATTAATAAGAGAAGAAAACCTAAAGCATTCTAAATTAAGACAGCAAATTGTCTTAACTGTCTGTTTCACGAATGCATTAGACTATTCACTACTGAATACTAGATATGTATTCAAATGTAAACATCTTTCTTCATGGAAACTTCAGACATGGCTATGTCTATTGTAAGAGGGGCTCACGGGCAGGCCTACAAAAGCCGCTCCCTCCAGGAACCTGGCTTAAAGCCACAGGAACCCTGTCCTGAGTAACCCACGACCAGCACCAACAGTGCACCGTCTGACCCCTCTCCAGAACAGTCACGCTTACTTAAAAATGGCTGCTCAGCACGGGGCTATAGGATCTGGAGGAAGGTCAAGCATGATGGGGAGAGATGTGGCCCAAGTCCCTGTCTCACTCTGAACTCTGAATCTTATATGAGCATAACCATGCAGTTGGTTTTAGTTGAGTAGAAGCTGGATAAGTAAGGAACTGGAATGTTTTAGAGCTGCCGCTCTTAGCTTAGCTACAATACATGAGGAGTTAGTTATCTGACCCCACAGCCTGTTCAGAAATGGGAGAGGCGCCTCTGGAGGGTAGATTTTGTCTACCTATCCTAGTCCACAGCAGGTAGTAAGCAGTTGATGATTTCTACTGAACTAAGAAATTATGTTTAAAAGGTGCTTTACTATGAACCAAATAGATCAGGTACTATGTAGCCACAGGGTCAGAGCTGACAAGACCTAAACTAACTCCTGGAGACAAGTAACCTCCTTCTGATTGGCCCACACTACTCCTGTACATGCCTAAAGGTGTGGACAGGAGACAGCTCTGGGCAGTGGGGCCAGGAACATAGCTTCTCACCACATCCACAATGCACCATGATCCCAGAAGCTGTCTGGTGAATATCTGTGAATACTAAAGACCTTTACACTTATTTTTGTCAGTAAAAAACTAGAATATCAGCATCATCTTTGGTTTAATATATTATTAGTTGAATGAATACATGGATAAATCAACGATGTTGCACATTCAGAGTTTCTCATGTCACAGATACAAAAGGAATACCTACTTCCCAGGGTTATGAGGATTACAAAATGAAACATGCAAAGCACATAAAACAAAGGAACAGTCAATGACGGCTAATGTTAGTCTTGGGAACAGACGTCACCCTTAAAGCAGAGTTTTCACAACAGGACTTCACTAATCACTTGTACTGTTCCCCACTGAGGGCAAACTGTTGCCTTGGTTTCTTGGATGCACTGATGTTGCATTTGGTTTCTTACAACAATGAGTGATACAGACTATCTAAGAAGTCCTGAGCTAGTGGTAAGAAAAGAAAGGCCATTACTCCTGAGATTCATACAGAGAACCCATCATACACACATTTTACTTACATTAATCTAGCATTTAAACTTAAATCCTTTTTTGTTCACAACACCCCCTAAACATACAGCCAAGTCATCTGGTGCTCAACTGATGCAGCAGCAACCTGTTCTAAAGCTGCAGGGAAAAAATGACTATAGCTAGAATTGTTGAGAGGTGGGTAAAGTACCTTCAGGGTTATTGGAAATGTCTGCCTTCCAGGCTGCCAATTAGTTCCTTTCTCCTATGTCAGATGACTCAATTGAAATCAAATGCCAAGTCTGCCCAGGATGTGTCTGTTTCCAGGTATAAACTTACAAATATTAACCACATCTTTATTATCAAAATTCCTACAATAACTTTACTCAGAAAGGCTACAGTCCCTAACCTTTTTGCTCCATATGAACAGCTATCAACAGTACAGGGTTGGATGATGCCAGGTCCTGCTTTCTAAAAACAGAAGCGGCAGTACAGCAGAAGAGAGCATTGTTCTAGGCTTAGAGAGTAAAGAGAGAAACAAAGGTGCCTTTGCCTGATAGACTCAGAGCAGACATATTTTAGAGATGTTTGTGTTTTAAAATCACACAGCTACAGGTGCCCTGGCAGAGAAAAACAAGAGGCAGACCCCAGGGGATCGTGTGAAGGAGCCACTGGGGCGCTCCTGCTTACCTTGTTGGCACACTGCTTACACTGTTTTTCATCCAAGCAGTCCCCTGCCACCTTGGCCAGGACAGGATCCAGGGGGTTATCCTTCAGGTCCAGCCACTTCAGGCTCTAAAGAGATGGGGCAGAGTGGCTGGTGAGCCCAAGCACACATGAAGAGTCCCTCAAAGTGGGACAAAGTGAGCAGCCCTCTGTGTTCAGTTATAGGGAAAGACACCGGAAGCTGTGACAACAACGTGGTGTTCTGTTGGCTTCTCTCACAGCCACGCCCCCGCAGTTCCTAAGCCCTCTGCCACACCTGGTTATGAAACACCGGGTCAGGAATTGTTACCTTGAGCTGAGCAAAGCTGACAGGCAGGGTGACCAGCCTGTTGTTGAGGAGGTCCAGGTGCTGGAGGTTGACCAGGCGGCCAAAGTCCACTGGAAGCTGCCGCAGTTTGTTCTTACTCAGGTCCAGCTTCACCAGGTGTGTGAGGCCACAGAAATCCGACTAGGACAAAAAGACAACACCTAAGCCTTGGGCTCACACACTGTGACATAACAGTCCGGGAGCCCCCAAGTCAGACGCACCTATACACAAATCCCAACTCTATTTTGTACCAGCTGTTCCAGCTTGAATGAAAATGGAGGTAGCAAGTATTGCTGCTGGTGGTGAGCAGTGAGACGGGTGCAAAAAGGCTGAGCTGGAAGTAGCCACTAAGTAAGTGTGGGTTCCTTCACCCTCGGTTCTCTGACCTGTCGTCAACAGCACATTATATTCAACTTTCTTAGAAGCTGCCCAAACATGGTGTGACCATCCAGTTTTCTAAAAAGATCAAGTGCTCCTTGTGTGCATGCATACAGCTGCATCCGACTCTTTGCAACCCCATGGACTGTAGTCCTCCAAGGGCCTCTGTCCATTGAATTCTCCAGGCAAGAATACTGGAGCGGGTTGCCATTTCCTACTCTCGGGGATCTTCCCCACCCAGGGATCAAACCTGATCTCCTGCATTGGCAGCTGGATTCTTAACCATTGTGCTACCAGGAAAGCCCCTGTTCTTTGTGTACCCAATGTTATTCTTCATTGTTCTCTGTAGCACCTAGCACATTACTGAGTATACACGTTCACGGAGTATTCTTTGAATGACTGACTAAACAGGCTGGGGCCCATCCTACGTATCCTGGCTCCTTAGCACAGTTCAAAACATCCCTCTTGTCATTAAGCCTTTGCTCGGCACCCATCTGAAGTGATAGTCCAACCTCAGTTAATGATGCACCATTTGTGTTCTCTGGGAACCTGTAAATGCCAGTGGATCTACACTTCAGGGGAACGCATGACAACTGAACAAATTCACACTGAAAAATGCACTTGGTGGTACCGAGTGACAATCTGACAAAGTTGCAGCAGGCTGCAAGTAATTGCTTCCCTTCTTTAACTAGATATAAAATACTCCTGGAAGAAGTGGAATCTCAGATGCTTTTTTCCAGTGTTAGAAACAAATCTTGATGAGCTGCAGGAAGATGCTATAGATGATAAGTGAGGCCCAGGAGAATACTGAGATGGAAATGGACTAATGCTCCAAGGAAGAAACTGCCAACTTCTGAGTTTAATCCCTAAGCCAGAGCCAGAAGAGTATGGTAAGGAGTGACGAAGCCAGAATAATGGGCAGAAAAAGCAACAATGACAGCAAACTTAGGCCTGACAGTGAAGGAGCACTGTCATGGAGGAGAGACCAACCAGTACCCAGGAGAGGCTGAGCAGGGCTGAATGATTCACAAGTGGAGCAAAAGGAGAACTGGGAGAAGTTGTACAAGGAGAGTCAAAAGTATTAGGTTGGATGTGCTAAACAAAATTGTATTTCAAGTATTGGGAGGATAATGATATGACAGTTCTACAAAAACACACTTTCTCCTGTTCCCCATCAAAACATGTACAAGGAGACCATTACGAAAAGCTTTCTCTCTGGAATGCAAAGAAACTTAGAAAAGAGCCTGCAGCCTCCTCTACTGCAACAAGGAAGTAAACTATTTTTTGAAGGAATAAAATAAGGCTGAAAAAGGATGAACCCAGTAAACAATTCAGCCAATATCCTGTTGACTTTAGTTTTCAGTGGCCTGGCTTTCCCACTGTTCCTAAAGAATAAGGTCTCTACTTTGCTTCCCTTCCCACTGAGACAAACCACCCCACTCTACCTGCAACACACTCCAACTTAGTAGTAGCCTGCCTGCAGGCCTATCCTAAAATTATGTCTTATGACATGACCCCCCCCCCCCCCCCCCAACAGGAAGGAGAAACATCAGGACTCTCAAAGAAATCATGCTTGCTTGCCAGCCTTACCGGTAGAGTCGTCAGTTTATTGCAGGACAGATCCAGTATACCAACTTAGTAGTAGCCTGCCTGCAGGCCTATCCTAAAATTATGTCTTATGACATGACCCCCCCCCCTGCCCCCCAACAGGAAGGAGAAACATCAGGACTCTCAAAGAAATCATGCTTGCTTGCCAGCCTTACCGGTAGAGTCGTCAGTTTATTGCAGGACAGATCCAGTATGGTGGCCTTTGGGAGGGCAGCCTAGGAAGGGAATGAGAACAAAATGTCAGATCAACACATGGAACAATTCAGTGACATCTGCTAATGAAGCATTTTCCAGAGAAAGTTCCCACAATTAGAAAAGGCCTTGTAGAAAAAAAAAAAAGTATAATGTTCCTGGAGACAGAAAAGGAAACTTAAGCCAGTCAACCATGACCTAGAGAAGAATGCTAAGAGTAAAGATGTGGCTGTGAAACATCCAAGAAAAAAAACAGGTTCTTAGAAATTCTCCATAGCACTTTTAATATTATCTCTAGCACCGTCCTTACTAGGTTTCAGGAAAGACACTGTGTCTAATATAGCTTTGTGATTTCCATATTCTCCAGTTCAGAACCTTCCAGGCACTCAAGATACCCTTGTGACTAAATGAATGAGTGAATGAAGAGTGAAAAAAGGCTCTCCTAGCCCAGCTATTTTCCCATGGGGTTCAGGCTGGAAAGAATCAGCAAAACTGATCCTTCTTTCTCCCAGGGGTGGTGCTGCACTAACCAGATGCCTGGGATAGATGATTTGGGACATCAGTCCTAAGGCCAGGCTGAAACATGGGGAAGAAGGCAAATATTCAGTTAAGGACAAGGGGCCAACATGCACTTTCCAAATGCCAGAAAGTACCAAGAACGAGGTTTGACCACCTAAAACGTTTGAGATATTACAGTGGGAAGAACACCTCAGTAATAGCTACATGCATCAGTATTTGCTCCCTCCCAAGTATTTTACATTACAATTTAATTAATTCTCCCAACAATCCTATGAGATGGGAACAATTACCACCATTTTATAAATGAGGAAATCTAGGCTTAAAGGTTAACTAGCTTGCCAAGGGCACTCAGCTATTAAGCAATGAAGCTGATATATGAAGTAGGAATCCCATTCTAACCTCCATATTACACAGCCAAGGTGGACGGAAAACTGGGCCAAGTGCCAAAGGTAAATGTAATTCATTAAAGGCAGTGAGGAAAGTGCAGGTCATCCAAAGTGATGCTACTGTGGGGGATGTGGGTGGGGAACCAGGTGGGCACAGCAGGGATATACCATACAACTCCACTTTGGTAACAAACTAGTTTTGTAATGTCCCTGGAGCCTCAGGCTTGTTTCCCAATTGGGGATGTGGGAGTAGGTGGGTGGAGGGGTGGCCACAGAAGCGCATATTCCCGCCAGTTTCAGAGTTGGGAAAACTTTGCCAACCAAGCAGTGAGATCTCACTCTCTTCAAGGAAGGACGCCTCAGGGCTGGGGCAGTCAGCTGGGATTGCTGACTTCCTAGAAAAGTTAGGTTCTGGGCCACACCCAGGAGTACCTGGAGGCCTACTCGGACCGAGTCATTCATTCGTTTGTTCATTCATTCCCCGAATATATCCAGCAAACGCTCCAACGGCTCCCACTTTGGATCGGGCACGGAGCTGAACGCTGTGAAAGCCTCAGAAATGGGGGTGGGGGGCGAGGAGATTCACTCCTCACTCTTAAAAACTCCATAGCCAGACAAGCAGCTCCTTCCCATCTTCTGGAATTGCGCCCAAGTGACACGTGTACACCCCAGGAAGAAAACTGGAGACGGACGCGGCCTCCCCGGGGACTCAGTCCCACTCCCCCACCTGTTTTAAGCCATGGAAACTGAGGCATGGGAAAGGAAGCGACCTACGCAGCAGGGGCCAGCGCCAGTCGCGGGTGGGCGCCTGGGCCTTGCGGGACTGTACTGACCAGCTCCTTGACCGGGACCTCATTCAGATCGCTGAGGCTCAGGTCCAGCTCGTTGCCGTCCAGCTTGTCGCGGAGGTTCCCGCCCTTGCTACCGGCCTTGGTCATGGTGACGCCGGCTGAACGGGACCCAGCTGCGGGGCACCGACGGGCAGGGGAAGCGCTGAGAAGCCGCTCGTCAGCTCACCAGACTCGCACCCAACCGACAACACCTGCGTCCTCCGCCACTGCAGGTGCGAGACCGCCGCCGCCCGTCCGCCCACTGGCCGCACTCTAAGCCCCGCGCCCTGCTCCCACCGGTGCCACCGCGACGACGACCACTTCCGTGTCCACGTCACCTTCCGCGGCCACTGAGACGGGCTGGGCCAGAGGGGTCTGAGCGTGTGAGGGAGCGCCCTCTGGCGCCCAGGATGGCGCCTCGCTGTCACAGCCAGCGCCGGTGGCGGTGGGCAGGGAAGGAGCAGGGGGGAGGGGAACGGGGTTCAGGCTAAGTTCCGCTGCTTGTTGAAGTAGCTACCTTCCCTGGTGCCCGGAGGGCGCGCTCTCAGGCAGTCGTCGCTGGTACCGTCAGGAGGCCAACAGACTGGGGGCCAGAAAACCTTGGCTCCATCCAAAATTGACCTCATCAGATCTCCCCCATTCTCTTGGATTAGGAGCAGAAACTGAGGGTTCTTCAAAATTACTCTTTGTCCTCTGTTTAACAATCCCCAAACTATCATCAAGACTTCCCTGGTGGCTCAAATGGTAAAGCGTCTGCCTACACTGCAGGAGACCTGGGTTCAAGCCCTGGGTGGGGAAGATGCTCTGCAGAAGGAAATGGCAACCCGCTCCAGTACTCTTGCCTGGAAAATCCCACTGACTGAGGAGCCTGGTAGGCTACAGTCCATGGGGTCGCAAAGAGTCGGACACGACTGACTGAGTGACTTCACTTCAAACTATCATCATCCAGAAAACTTTGCCTCTCATCTCCTCCCCACTGCCCCAAGCCCTTGTCCAGGCAACCATCAACTTGAGCCTGGATAACTACTCTGAATCTCTCTCCCTCCCATCCACCCCCAACCCAGCTGCCCAGATGATCTTTCTAAAAATTTAGCCAAGTCTCTCCTTTGCTTAAAACCCTTCAGATAGCTACACGTAGGATATGGGCTTCTCTCATTTCTTCACTGTGTCCTACATGCTCCTGCAGCCTCCTGACCAGCCCTGGCCCCTGCGTGGGATGCTGTGGAGGGTTCCAATAGGTGGTCTCCACACATTTCCCTCTCCTGAAATGGCCCTGCCTTCCCCACCACCCTCTGCCACTTAATTCCTAGTCCTTCAGGAAACTTCCTGAGGTTTATGAGTCCTTAAACAGCCACCATTAATCTACAGATACGTGAGAAACGTGCATAATAATGGTCCCTGGCTGATAGAGTTTGGGAAGGACTGAAGGAGTGAAACACGTGAAGCACATACGACAGTGTTTGGCACTTAGTAAGTGCCCAATAAATACTAGCTATCACTCATAATCCACCTTGTGTTATACTTTCCTTTATGTCTTTTTCCTCCATTCAGGCTTGTGATGGATGGCAGGGATTTCATTTTTGTACCCCTCCCCAGAATCTGCTTCAAGGTAATTGCTCATTCAGGGGTCTGTTGAATGAATGAATGAGGCACTTTACTCACTGCAAATCTCAGTTTGCTTATCTTTGAAATGAACATATTAAAATTTCTCTCAGAGGGGAACTATGAAGACAATGAAGTCAGTGCTATGGCCTACTCATTTAACAATCATTGTGTGTACCTCTTCTCATCCCCAACAAGGCACTGCGCTCTGGGCTTCTGGGAAACAGACAAGGGCAATTGGGTAACAATACATTAGCACTTGGCAGTCTCTAAAGCCTTTGAGCATCCATTCTCATTTTGATAATGTACATGAGGAAACTATGAAGCACATTTTATTGTTAGCTCTCTTTTATGAAGGAAGAAACTCAGGGAGAAGTAACTTGACCTCAGTCACACAGATGTTTGAGGGGAAGACCCAAATTTTTTATTCCAAATCCTCTTTCCACTACACCCTATTTCTCTACCCCTGCCCCTGGGAACTTACACAAATAATTATTATAGAAGGAAAAAAGAATAAGGGCCTTAACACACACAGGTAAAATCTGTCTGTGAATGTGCAGGGCTGTGTGGGTGTACATTTGAGTGTGATAACATCAGACTAACATATATAAGAGCATTCTGTGTGTCTAGGACTGTACATATATTACATATATTATTTCTTTTAACTTTTGCCTTACAAGGCAGATATTATTTCCACTTTACAAAGGAAGTACTAATAATTAAGGCTCAGAGAGGTCAACTATTTAACTCTAAGGACAGTCACAGCAAGTGAGTGTATTTGGAGGAAGGCGGATCATACCTGGGCTTCTCTGGTGGCTCAGATGGTAAAGAATCTGCCTGCAATGTGAGAGACCTGGGTTCAGTCCCTAGACCGGGAAGATCCCCTGGAGAAGGGAATGGCAACACACTCCTTGGAGAATTCCATGGACAGAGGAGTCTGGTGGGCTATGGTCATGCCTAGCATGACAGGGAGGGGAACCTGGGAGAAAGGAAAAAATCAGAAAAGTCTTCATGGGAGGAAGTGGCATATAAGTTGGGCTTTGAACAATGGGTCAGATTCAGACAGGCAGAGAGGCCACACACAGCAGCAGAGTGAGGAACTGATACCAGTTTTTCACTTTGAGAAAGACTTCACTCCCTGAGGCTGGAAACCCACAGCTTCACGAGAAAGTGAAGCCTGTTATCTGTTGGCAGCTGTTTCCTTGGGAACGAGACTGGCCTTGTGCTCCATCCCTTCAACTGAAGTGCCATCTTGTGCCAGGATATTGAGGTTGTTTGGACATCTGCCACAGGTAGCACAGCCCTTGAGAAGCCAAAGGTCAGGACCAGGACAGGAGGCAGCAGCTTCCTTGGGCGTCAGGCCAGCGCTGCCGCTGCTATGTCCAGTGCAATCCTGGCAAGTCGCTCCAGCTCTCCAAGCTTGTGTTTCTCTTTCTGTCAAATGGGGATAATAAAACGGGAAAGTGTGTCAAGGACCCACAGAGAGACACACAAGAAAGAGCCGCATGGCACCATGCAGTGACGTCAACCTTTCTGAGGCAGCTTTCCTGTGTTGCCCCACTGCCGGAGGTGGACTGAAAAATAAGGCAGACTCAGCCCTTGAAGGTTGGAGGCCCCAGTGTACTTTTTTAGGCGCATGATCTCTGTTTATATTATATGTTTACTTACATTATATTATAGGTTTACTTGTTTGCATAGGTTTGCTTTAAATACTTCCACATGTAAAGAAATACATTTATGTCCTTATAAATGAGTCTGTCCCAAAGTAAACTTCAAATTTAAAGCAACTGCAATTAGAAATCCCTAAAAGATTTTTATACTTAAGATGAAAAAATTCTTATTCAGATGAGAGGGTAGATGCCTGAGAATTGCCAAAAACACTTCATGAAATTAAAAAAACACTCATTGGGGTTCTGCTCAACCATATATTAGATGTTATAAGAAAACTCAAAACAATATAGCATTGTCATGGGCAGGTATCAGTGGAACAACATAGAGAGTCTAGAAACAGATACAGTGTACAGGAGTTCTTAATATATAATTAACATTGTATTTATAGTCAAATCCATCAAAAGGGGAGAGTTGAACAAATTAGAATGTATTTATACAATGGAACCTCACTGTAGAACATTATGCAGTCATTAAAGAGAATGCATAGAACTACATGTACTGACCTGGAAAAAAATATTTGTTGCATATGCTCAAGCAAAAAATGCAAGTCACTAGATGCATGGCATGGCATTTTAAAATTTTGACCTTATTTCAGACTTACAGAAAAGTTGCAAGGATAGAAGAAAGAATTCCTGGATACTTTTCACCCAAATTTTCCAACTGTTAACATTTTACTACAGAAATATCTACATATTTCTAAATCCATCCAAAGGGGAGAGTTGAACAAATTAGAATGTATTTATACAATGGAACCTCACTGTAGAACATTATGCAGTCATTAAAGAGAATGCATAGAACTACATGTACTGACCTGGAAAAAAATATTTGTTGCATATGCTTAAGCAAAAAATGCAAGTCACTAGATGCATGGCATAGCATTTTAAAATTTTGACCTTATTTCAGACTTACAGAAAAGTTGCAAGGATAGAAGAAAGAATTCCTGGATACCCTTCACCCAAATTTTCCAACTGTTAACATTTTACTACAGAAATATCTACATATTTCTGAACTGCTTAAGAGTATGTTGCAGATGTGATATCCTTTATCCATAAATACATCACTGTGTCTCTCTCAGGTACAAGTAGAACTCATATAAGCACAGGATAGTCATAAAAATCAACAGTTTAACACTGATCAATACTATTATCAATCTATGGACCTTACTCAGATTTCACCAGTTGTCCAGCATTTCATTTTGGGGAAAAATACATAAAGGGAGAGGTGAAGAAACATTGACGTATGTCTGTGCTTAGCTGCTCAGTTATATCTGACTCTTTGCGACCCCATGGACTGTAGCCTGCCAGGCTCTTCTGTCCATAGCATTCGCCAGGCAAGAATACTGGAGTGGGCTGCTATTCCCTTCTCCAGGGTATCCTCCCGAACCAGGTATCAAATCTGGGTCTCCTGCATTGTAGGTGGACTCTTTACCATCTGAATCACCAAGGAAGACCTTTGCATAAGTCTGTACGTTGTGTAAGAGCTTGGGAAAGGTACAGAACATCCATATTTTTAACCTTACTTACCTTGAACATCTGTTACAAGGTGCATGTATTATAATTTTGTAATAAATTACAATGAAGAAAAGTTTACTATAAATAAATAATGAATGAATGAATAAAATCACTATAGGTTGGAGACAAGGTTGACATCAAGTCCTGGTTCTGCCAACTTTGGATACATCACCTAGTCTCTCCAATCCTGGATTTCCTCATCATAAATTTCCATCTATAGAGGAAGCTATATTTTCTTTCTTTCTTTTTTTTTTTTAGGAAGCTATATTTTCAATAAGGATTAATTTAGAAAAAATACACAAAGTTTTCAGACAAAGTTCCCTAGAAGACACTTAAAAAATAATTCCTATAAAACCAACCACTCTTGCATGTTCCCACCTCCTCCTCCTTGCTCATGCCATTCAGCTTAAAAATGTCCTTTCCTTCCTCTCCATTATCACCATTTTTTTCATCCTTCAAGGCCCAGTCTAGATGCCACCTCCTCCAGAAATCCTTGTCTGATTACCCCGACCAAAAGTGACCTCTTTCCACTGATGCCCTATGGCTTCCCCGTGC